CTCTAATTTTCATTGAGATAACTCACATATTGGCCGATATTTGCTATGCAGTATAAAGTCACCTGGAAGTTCAAGAATCTTTACATTAGGTATATGGGGACTAAGGAAAGTATTGACTCGATTCAACCCAGTTTTGACATACGGACATACTATTATCAGGAAAGGATTCTCTTTGAATTTCAATTATATATCATACGTATTGACCGATCTTTTCGGTAAATAATCAACTATATGTACTGGGGTCCACATATTCGGTACCTAGGGGCTTGAAAAGTTTTGGTTCGATTTGGAAATTTTTTGGTCATAAGGTGGCATACTTTAAAGCAATCATTCGTAAAAATTTGTATCTGGATACATTTATTAATGCTTAATTTGCATACTAGAAAGTGAGAGAATTAGATGGAATTTAAAATTGTGTTATATGGAAAGTAGGCGTGCTTGTAAATAAATAAAAGCGGCAGCGGCCAATTACTGTCAAAAATTCCTCATACCCATAAATTTTGCATAGCACATACTTAAATAAACGCGGTAGGAACGCTGAGCGTTGAAGAATTCGACTTTGACAGCGCGATAAGAAGAAATAAAATTGGCTGCAAAAAACAAAGTTATTGTAATTTTTTGAAAAATTTTCTTGACGCGCGATGTTTAATGCTTGTACAAATGGATGTAAGTATTATTAATAAATTAATTCGATTTGCATTTCATTTCTTTTGTACAAATTTTAGAATTTAAGTCAGAATTTAACGTGAAGTTGCCGCTTGATTTATGGAGGCCGCGTTGTTGTTGTAAGGGTTACCCAGCCCCCCTTGGGTGATAAGTTATAGTTTCGTTGTCGTCGAAGTCACCTAACGGAAGGCCCAGGAATCGAGCCGTTTCGACGGGGTCGGACCATAGGGAAATGGGTGTTAGATGAGTTGGGTTCGTTGGGCAAAGAGGTGGTTAGGATCATGCGGAGACTCATTGCACGCAGGACATTTGTTTGAAATGTCGGGGTCGAGCTATAGGTGGTGGTCTGCTATAGGTGGTGGTTTGACTCCTAGTACGCCATTCACTGAGAGGGAATCGGTAAAGGTGTTGATGTGAATGGCGGTCAGTGCTTGTCTAAAGTTCGTTGCGTCCGAAGTCCGGTCGGCATACTGTCTGATGTCGTCGAAGTAATCAAGGAAGGACCTCTTGATGTTCCTAGGAGGCGGTTCCGCTTCAATCAGACGACTGCAGGGGTGATTTCTGCGAAAACACCCTGGAGAAACTGCTTGGAGAGGAACTCGTTATGTTCCTTAACCGAAAGCATACGGGCCTAACCGTTCAGGTGTTCTATTGGGGACATCAAGAGGCATCCCGTGATAGTCCGGAGTGCAGTGTTTTGACAAGTCTGAAGCTTCTTCGTCTGCGATGCACTACATCCAGGCGACTATATTGGAGAAGCATAGTTTAGAACCGGCCGGCCGATTGCCTTGTATGTTGCCAGCAACGTTTCTTTGTCTTTTTCCCCAAGAGCTGCCGACAAGCGATTTGAGGATTTTGTTGTCTGTACTTTAGCAGTTATCGCGGTCGGGTGAGGAGTAAGGGAGCACAGACTGTCTATTGTAACGTCGCGTCGGCGTTAACGCTGAGCGGTAAAAAACGCGCCGTCAAACGCTTTTATTTAGGTACGGCAGTAAGGTGGGCGGTGCCACGCCACTTGTCCAATTTTTGTTTTGGCTCCTATAAAGCATACTTGTACCATTCTATGTGTAAAATTCAACGTCTCTGCTTAGTTTATTTAATGAATTATAGCACGTTTAGTAGTTTTAATCAAAACTGGTATATGCGGAGTGCGAGGGGTTATCACCCGATTTCACCCATTTTCACACTGTCGATAGGTGTGATGTGATATGCACATTAAACCTATTACAAGGCGGGATCACGCCCACTTTTCAAAAAAAAATTAAACTGCAGATGCCTCTCCCTAATTTGATCCGTTATACCAAATACCAGTTATGTATCTTATTGTGGAGCTTAGTTATCGCAATTTATTGGTTTTCATTTAATGTAATTTTTAAAGTTTTTATTAGTTTGGAATTAATTTCAATATAGGAAGCAGAGAACAGTGCTGAAGTCATTTATTTTAGTCAAGCTAAAAAATTTAAATTAATTTGCAGCTGAACATGGTACCTTTGTCTTTATATTATAATAACCGTCGAGTATTTCTGCGGTGCACTTCGTTAAATAGTACAATAATTTAATAATTAGGATAGGCCACTTACGTGAATTTTCAGAAGGTCCATTGCTGCAGGAATCATTACTGTTGGAACATTGAAATAGAGCAGCAAAATTTTTGGTTGAAGTTGTACTATTCATTAATTCTTGAATAGTCTGGGTTAAATCAAATCCCTTTTCACGCGACTCCTCTTTTATTGTTTCCATGCGATGATCTCGCCCGGTACGAAAGTCAGAATCTACAGCATTTCCTTGACTATGTTCACGTTCTCTGCTGCTACGTTCATGCCTGCGAGTTTCATAGCTACGGCTTCTCGACCGGCCGCCTCGATTGCTATCACGAAGCCGATCACGTCTATCAGAACGACTCTGTGAACGACGTTTTCTTCGACTATCATAATCATTACTTCGCGATCGACTCCGACGCGAGTGGCTTCTAGAATGACTTCGACGAGAACGAGAGTTTCGATCCCTGTCACGTTCATAGTTTTCTCTTTTACGATCGCGGCCAGTTTCTCTATCACGATCGCGTTCACGATTCCCGTCCCTATTGCGGTCACGATCCCGCTCTCTCTTATGCCGATCTTTTTCACGACTTTCATGGTGGCGATCCCGATCGCGGTCATTACTTTCCCTTTCATGGTGACGATCCCGCTCACGATCTTTACTTTCCCTTTCGCGGTAACGATCCCGAGATCTGTCCCTTTTAAATAAATATAAAACATTAATTTAATAAAATAAAAAACAAAATTACATAAAAAACTTACCTCTTTTTTTTGTCTCGATCTCGTCCTTTATCCTTTTCTCTAACATCCCGGCTGTAATGTTCTTTTGAACTAGAATGGGAACGCTCCGAGTTCTCATGCTTGCCACGGTATTCACGTTCGCCGTAGCCATTATCGGTCTGAGGCGGATGCATTTCTCCGACATTCGAATGTGGAGGCGTTTCACTCATTGTCACACTTCAGTTAAACGAGATTAAAATATGAAGAAGAAAATATCAATACTTTCAATTAAGTTATTATTTTACGTTAATCACAAACCAATACTCTTCACAACTTTAAATGAAAAGCTATGAAAATTTGTCCGACTTTTCGCACACCTTCGAAATTAATATAAGAATAATAGATTTCGAACTCAGAGTTGATTTATAAATTATCATATAAAGTATTGCCGGACTAGTCAAATGCATTTCACACCTCAACTACTGCAACTCCAAGTTCGCAATATTAATTGAAACTTTAGTATATAATAATTGATGGATCATGGATCGCGAACCTATAAAATATTTAAATGTTTTGAAACCCGGATTGCGTATGATGGATTGCACATTTTGAATGTAAATTGGCGATTCGACGGAACAATGTAGTAAAATAAATAAACCAACGGAAAATTAAACAAATAATAAAGTAATTTATGTTATTTTAATTTTTCTTCTAAAAACATGATTTATTGAAAATATATATACTATATTTATATAATATATTTCAATATAAGAAAATACGGTAAATGTATAGGAGGCTTCAAAAATGAATTTTTATTAAATCGTCTTATTTATACGCGAAGATTACAAATCTGTGAGCGGAAAGTTAATTTTGACAAAAGTTATGTTTTTTATTATATTAAAAACCATATATATATAAAAGAAAAAGCTTTTTTAATTTTTCCGCTGCTAAAAGGAGTTCGGTGCTAAAGAACTATGGACACCCCCGGTGCAGAAAGGAGTTTGACACAATTAAATTATAAACACTCCGTGTTGGACCGACTAGGGTTATTCTTTTGAAGAGCGGTCGAAGGCCTCCAGTTCAGAAAGAAAATATATACATATATCATTGAAAAAATTCACTTTCCGCTCACGAATTTGTAATCTTCGCGTTAAAATAAGACGATTTAAAAAAATTTTGCCGAAAATACTTAAAAAAAAAATTGAAAAATTAGAAAATCTTAATAGTTAGCGAGTATATTAATGACCATCTAACTTACAAAACAAAATTCATAAATTTTCCTCATCACTGCAGTTACCACTGACGTGGAATACAACTCTGTAATGATTCCACGTGCCAAAGTTAAAATAAAATTTGTATTTCCTTGAATTTAATTTATCAAAAATTATTTAATATATTATTTACATTTCATTAGTAAAGCTATGGTAAAAGCAAAGAAAAACAAAAAGACACTAGCGGATCAAGTATACTCGAAAAAAACCGATGGGGCGAAAACAGCAAACCCTTTTGCAACAGCAATACCTGCAACATCGAATCGTCTAAATCCATTCGAGGTCCATGTAAACAAAGAAAAGTTTCAAATTCTGGGACGCACTTGCAGACATGATAAAGGTTTGCCTGGTGTATCACGCGCAAAAGCCGTTAGAAAGCGCAAAGACACACTTGCGGTTGAATATCAAAATAAACACAAAACTAACAAATTTCGTGACCGAAGAATAGGCAGATTTCAAAACAGTAATCAACTGAGTGAAGACGTTATAAATGCACGGTTTGTGGCAGCAAAAGTAGAGCAGTTAAAACAAAATAAAGCATCTAGGTATAATTTAAATGACGATGATATTTTGACACATCGAGGTCAAACACTGGAGGAGATCGAACATTTCCGTGACGAACGTTCTGATGATGACGATTTGGAGGATGATAAATTAAATGGTTCGTTAAAACTATATATCCTTATATAAAACTTAATATATAAACTTAAGTAACATAATTTGAAATTATTTATAGCCGAGTTCACGGAAACTGCTAATTTCGGCGGAAACCCCGAATTGTCAAAAGATCGGCAGTCGGCGATAGAAGACATGATAGCAGAACAAAAACGGAGAAAAATAGAAATAGCTAAAGAAAAGGACGAAATATATAGTTTAACAGAAAAGTTAGACTCAAATTATAAAGAGCTACTCGGATTGGTAGATAAATTATCCAAAAAAGAGGTTCTAAAAAAGTCCAAACCTGATGATTACGATAAAGCTTTGAAGGAAATGATTTTTGAACCTAGGGGTGTAGTTTCTGATAAACTTTTGTCCGAAGAGGATTTAGCTAAGCAGGAAAAAGAGAGATTGGAAGAATTGGAAAGAGAACGACTAAAAAGAATGCATGTAGACGGAGAAAAAGTCGATGTTAATACCATGCAAACTGAACATCGTTCAGCCGATGCACTAGATGATGGCTATTACGGTTATTCCATTGAAGACGAATTTGAGACGCTTGCATATACTCTAAATGGTTCGTAAGTTATTGAAATTATGATTTTTGTATATATACAAGTATGTATGTACATATTTTTTTTTATAGGTGAGCTGGGAACAAAATTTATGGAAAATGTTTCCAAGGAATTGGAGGAAGAATCGATCGAACTCGAAAGTGAAGAGGAAAAAAGTTATGAAGATCAAGAAGAGGAATCAGAATACGAAAATGGCATCGATAAAGGAGTTGACGACGATAATTTGAGTGACTTGAAAGTAACTGACTCCGAATCTGAAACAGAAGATCTTGAAAGAAGTGTGCATTCAAAAAAAAACATATATATTAAAGCTGCTGGAAGTAAAAACGAAAATATATCGAATCCATACATTAATGATGATTTACCATATATGATAGATATTCCCGATAATTACGACGGATTCAATAAATTGTTGTATAAGCGTAAACCAGAAGATCAAGGTATCATTATTGACCGCCTTATAAAATGTAATAATCCAAAGCTAGATGGCATAAACAATAAGGATAAAATGATCAAATTGTTCGATTTTCTTTTGCAGTATGTAAATGAATTATTTACTGACGCTACTCAAGACGACATACAAAGACAATTTAAAATATTAGATATTCTCAATCCTCACATGTACGATCTAATCCAAATGATACCAGATAAATTGTCAAATACTTTGTTGGACGTTATCAAAGAAAAATACAATGATTATCTAAAAAATATTAAATTGTTTCCTCCACTAGAAGCGCTTATATTTTTAAAGCTTGTATCGAATTTCTGCAGTACGTCAGACTTTCGTCACGCAGTAGTTACGCCCTGTTATATTTTTATACAACATGTCTTGTCGAAGGCGCGGCTAAGGACGAGGCAGGAGATAGCAGGTGGCTTGTTTCTGGTAACAATTTGTTTTGAATTCTCTCGATTGTCAAAACGTTTTTTGCCAGCAGTATTGAATTTTTTACACGGCATTGTATATTTGAGTATACCCAAGCGACCTATCGAAATGTTAAGAATTGTGCCACCATTTCAAAGCACAGGACCGATGAGCAAACTACTGGCTATTGCTGAAATTGAAGAAAAAGAAACATTAAATGAGGAGTTATTAAAATCAGACGATTTAGTTTTGACTACATATTCCATTGACTTTAAAATTCGTGCTTTGAATATAGCACTGAAACTGATAAAAGACATTATTTCCAATCTTGAAGAGAGTATTGGTTCGAACTATTTTGCAATACCCTTTTTGGAGTTATTTGAACGCATACCTTTGGATATCTATCCGGAATTCGTGCACACTAATTTCAAAGCTGCCAAATCGGTATTAGAAAACGTTTCAATTAAAAAATTAACAAAAATTGTACCGCCTGAAAAGAAACCTAAGGCGCTACGACTTCTTGAGCCACGAATTGAAATAATTTACGATGACAAACGTCGACCACGATTAACGAAAGATAAGGAGGAAAGAGTCAAATTGATACATAAATTACGTCGAGAAACTAAAGGTGCGATTAGAGAAATACGAAGAGACACTGAATTCTTACAAAAGATGCGTATAGAACAACAAATTCAAAGGTATGTATTACATTAATATTTAAAATAGTTAGTTGGATTTCACATGCTTAAATTTTTCAGTGATTTGGAGCGCAAAGAAAAGGTAAAACGTATTTATCAAGAAGCTTCGATTCAACAAGGTGAACTTAATGAGCTAGATCGTATTAAGAAGAAAAAGAAATTCTAGAGATTCTAAATTTAATTGTAATGAGAGACTATTTGTTATTTATTGTATTTAATTTTATAATTGAGTTACGATTTATTTGAAGTCACAATTAATGCAGAATAAGCGAATAAAAAATTAGTTTTTTTATTTAATATCCAATGTAAGGAAAAATCAAAAAGCGCAACTTCGAAAATGAAATTTATTAAAAGAAATTCAAGAAGATTTATATAATGAAGGAATCATGAAAATTAAATTAAAATATATTATAAAACAAGTAAGGAAGGGCTAAGTTCGGGTTTAACCGTATATTTCATACTCTTCCAACTTGCAAGGATCAAAACTGGGGAAATACCTTCAGGTGTTGGCAAAACTTCATATTTTATTATGTTATGTTATGGGTCATAGACTCAATTACTTTTATAACTATATTTTACTTGTCGTCAACGAAAACTATATTTAAATCATACTCAATTGAGATATATGTGACATACCAGATGTACCGGTATAAAGTGAGCGTTAAGATACAAATGTGTTAGTAGGGAACATTTGTTGTGAACGAGCCTTAATTATACTCTCACAACTTGTTGCTACAGAATATAATAGTTTTGTTCACCTAACGGTTGTTTGTAACACCTAAAACTAATCGAGTTAGATATAGGGTTATGTATATATAAATGATCAGGATGAAGAGACGAGTTGAAGGTCCGTCCGTCCGTCCGTCTGTGCAAGCTGTAACTTGAGTAAAAATTGAGATATCTTTATGAAACTTGGTACACATATTTCTTGGTACCGTAAGACGTTTGGTATTGCAGATGGGAGCAATCGGTCCACTGCCACTGCCACATTAGGGAGGGGCATCTGCAGTTTAAAATTTTTTTTAAGTGGGCGTGGTCCCGCCTCTAATAAGTTGAATGTGCATATCTCCTATACCACTGAAGCTATAAAAACAAAATTCACTGGGAACAAATGTTTTTAGCATCTCTATCGACGGTGTGAAAATGGGAAAATGAAATCGGGTGACAACCCCGCTCACTTCCCATATAACGGTACTTTTAAAAACTACTAAAAGCGCGATAAATCAAGCACTAAACACGCCAGAGACATTAAAGTTTATCTCTGGAATGGTATGAGATGACTTTATAGGAACCGCGTTCAAAATTAGACAGTGGGAGTGGCACCGCCCACTTTTATGTGAAAACCCATATCTTGGGATCTGCTTAACCGATTTCAATCAAATTCGGTACATAATATGCTTTTCATATTTCTATGTTATAGTACGTAAATGGGCGAAATCGGATTACAACCACGCCTATTTTCCATATAACACCATATTAAATGTCATCTGATTTTTTCACTTTCCACTATGCAAATCAAGCAACAATGATAATATCGGCGTAAAACTTTGCGTCAATAATACTTTTAAAGTATGCCACCTTGTGACCAAAAATTGTCTAAATCGAACCAAAACCGTTCAAACCCCTAAGTACTGAATATGTGGACCCTAGAGCCCATAGTTGACCCCTTACCGAAAATATCGGTCAATCCACAAAGAAATCTTAAACGAGTATACCATTTGATTTTGCGAGAGTATAATATGTTCAGTTATATCCGAACTTAGCCCTTCCTTACTTGTTTTATTTTCTGTTTGGTTGGCATGACATGTCAAACATATTCAATAACCTTACTGTCATTGAACAAACATCATATTTTGCATTGTGTTGAAAATGTCAAATTTTGTACCGGAAAGTGGTGATTTGCGGAAAGCATAATTTTTTTTTTCCATTTGAAGAAAAATTCTGGAAAGTCGCATTGAATGCTTGTTGAGGCATATGGTAATCATGCTCTATCAGAAGCAACATGCAAAGGAAAGCACCTGCAAAAATGGATACTTGGCTGGGAGCTGCTACCCCACCCGCCGCATTCACCTTTTGTTTTCATCGATGGGACACGCATTGGCTGAGCAGCACTGCTTCAAAAAACGAACATTTATGTTGGCATAGTTCCCACAAATTGCCAAAATGGTAGTCCAAATGCGTAAAAAGCAATGGTCAATACTTTGGATAAATTTTATTTACTTTCTCATTCAAAATTAGTGTTTCATTTTCACATTTCATACCGGTTCACCTGGTAAACTTAACCGAAGAGGCTAAATTTAATATATTGAATTGATGTGCAAAACGTCAACCAGAAGATCCGCGATATCTTATATATTGACCGATATATACGGTATAAGGTCAACCGGAAATTAGAGAAATCTTTCATTAGGTATATGGGAGATAGGCGTAGTATTGACCCGATTTTTATCTATTTTTGGCATTACACCACATATTATTAACAGGTGTTCTCTGAGTTTCATTAATTACCATACCATCAAAAATATATAAGGAGTAAAGTCAACCGGATGTTTAAAAATCCTGATTAGTTATATGGGGGCTATGGCAAGTTTTGACACGATTTTACTCAATTTAATTAAAATATCTTAGATATTGGCAGATATATGGGGTATAAAGTCAGCCGGAAGCCATTTTTAATATACAGACATAGTATTAACAGAAAAGGATTCGAATCTCTTTTGTCATCCTGGATGTAAAATTTAATGACTCAGACGCATTTCGTTATTGATTTATCGCACTTTTAGTAGTTTTTAACATAACCGTTGTATGGGGATTGGGCGTGTTATCATCAGATTTCATTATTTTTATGTTTTCAAATTTGGGCTATAGCTTGAATGGTTTGTGAGATATACATATACATTAAACCTTGGTTTAATTTTAATTTATTAAAATGAGGTTTAACATACCAATTTTTAAAAAAAGCTCATTAGTGTTCTCAGGGGTGACATTTAGGCCAGGGCTACTCATTGCTGTCTGCAAAGACGACAGTACAGCTAAATGTCTACCAACAGTAGCACCCCATCTATGCGGCTGGTCAGGCATAAATCTAACGACGAAAATCGTGCACAAAGTGACAATTTTCTTAGGAGCAAGGGTCTGTAGGTCTGAAGGTACTTGGTTGAAGCTAAACCTGTGTGAGAAGCAAACGCAGTCCCACAGGCAACGGTACATTCAGCCAACAGGAACAGAGACTGATGAAGTAAACCCCCAAACGAAGAAATTATAGGAATTAGCAACTAGCCTTAATCTAATAAAGATGCAAACGATCAGTGAGGACCTGATGCTCTCAGATATCAAGGACCACACAGATGGAGGATGGACACCTGTCATCAATATAGCCCAGATTAACCTACACCATGTTATTGCTGCCTCTGCGGTAATAACTAACAAAATAGGCTCGGATGACCTGGGCATAATTCTGACACAGAAGCCATGAACCTACAAGGTCAGGTAAAAGGAATAAAAGACAAATACACAATATTCATATGGGATCTCACCTGCGAGAACCCTAGAACTTGTTTTATAATGAACAAAGGTATAGACTATATCTGTATCTCAAAATTCTTAAGCAGAGATCTAGTGACAATACAACTAACCACAGACAAGGAAGGAAGGAAGGCAGAAATTGTGTAGTTCCGCTTACTTTCCTGGAGATACAAACACGATAGTAGGAACTGCCAGAAGGAACGACATTAACCTTTTCAATGCTGCATGCACATCCATGTTCATAACTATAAATAGGAAGAAAGTATTAGACTTAACAATAGGGAACACCTGATTTAAGAACATAGTCTCTTAATTGATGGTTTCTTCCGAACCATTAATATCAGATCACAGAATTATCTAATTCTCCTTAGAAAAGAAATGGGTAAGGCCATTAGAAATCCTAGGAAAACCGACTGGGCAAAATATAGAACGCTGTTAAGCTTAAATCGCAACAGGAAAGAACTACCAACAAAGCAAAAAACGTCTAAGAACTAGAATAGAAAGTAGACAACCCAAACAATAGCATATTCGAAACATTTAACTCTAGTTGTAAACTCTCAATACCAAGGAAAGCAAAAGGTTCAATAGAGCGAAAAGAAATGGTAGTTGGGAAGATAGTATCATAGTATCTTAACAGACTTCAACCCAACAACCGATACATGGTCGGTAGCTAAAAATATAATGAGCTACTGATAGGTACAGTGGGCAATAAACTTCGTTGAAAAATATAAATCCACAGAAATATATGGTATATGGCCAGCACTCCTACAAAATGGAGAGCAACAACTAATATGCGTGCTGGAGCACATCATGAAAGAAAGCATGGATTTAGCAAATATATCTATGACATGGTGAAGAGCCCCAGTCAAGTTCATTCTCGAACCAGGCAATAAACCATATGGCATCTGGTACTATGTCAAATGAGGACATATCCCTCATTGAAACTCGAGTAGTTTATTTCGAGGAAGTTCCCGATGATGCCATACATTTATTTTGGTCCAATGAAGAGACAAATAATTTCAATGCTCTTAAGCTCAGTCGAATCCCAACTGAAGATATCCTTTCGACTGCAAAAGACTCAGTTAAAGGAATTGGTATAAGTGAAAATGAGAATATTTTGGAAAGAGTTAAACTTTTCAAAACTTCTGAAACGTAGGGACTGCCCTATGAATTGACACGAAAAACCTCCGCCAAATACATGATTACACTGAATATAAACACGTGTGATGGCTTGGTTAATGGGGCAGCTGGACAACTTATGCAAATTGATTTCCATTGTTCTTTTCCAACAATTCTGTGGATTAAATTTTTGAAACCTTCTTTTGGTTTGATAGCACGATCAAAAAAGCCTCATCCTCTAGAAAGTTCTTGGACACCAATTGAAAAAGTTCTAAAATCTTTTCAATATAAACGAAATGAACAAATTTCAATTGAAAGAAATCAGTTTCCAGTTGTTCCGGCTGAGGGAATAACTATTCATAAAAGTCAGGTGTCACATATAATAAAGTTGTAGTTCATACTCGACCCAGAATGCCTAGAGCTTCAATATATGTCGCTTGTAGTCGAGCTACTACTGCAGAAGGTCTATTGATCATAGGAAATTTTATTCCTTCTAACAAATTTTCTGAATCGGATCCTGTATTTAGGGAACTGCGGGTATTCAACACAAATAAAGCTCTGACAACAAGTTTCAATTTTATGATTTCCCGGACATCAGACATCAATACCATAATGTCTGAGTCTTCATGCTCACATTAATGATATAAAAGCGACTGTTTGATGCTATCTTCAGATAATTTATATGTAGAGATTTGGAGATTTCCAAACTATATCTGTACAATTTTAAAGAAAATTTAATT